TACAGCTTATCTGGTCAAATTGTTTAGACTAGCTGTACAAATTATAACCTCATACTAGGTAATTATCCTCAACTTATCATTTCCTACTAACTGATAATGTTCAATATTTTTATGTTTTTATCAATATTATGTATTGCAGATTACCACCCCACATTCGACATCAGTTATGTTTATTGTTAGATCCACCCAATGCTAGAGGAAATGATTGGAGAATGTTGGCACAAGCATTAACTGTTGATAGGTAAGCCCAGAATTTCTACCATTTAATGTGGTTTTATACAAGATATATACCATAACATGTGGTTTTAAACAAGATATATACCATAACATGTGGTTTTATACAAGATATATACCATAACATGTGGTTTTATACGAGATTTATACCATAACATGTGGTTTTATACAACATTTATACTTTAAGATGTGGTTTTACACAACATTTATACTATAATATGTGGTTTTATACAAGATTTATACCATAACATGTGGTTTTAATACCAGATTTATATCATAACATGTGGTTTTAATACAACATTTATACCATAACATGTGTTTTTATACAAGATGATTGTATACCATAAGATGTGGTTTAATATGAGACAATACCTGGTGGACCAATTTTTGGAACTGCCCACTACTTCTGACTTTGGAAATTACCATTACATAAACAGCAATGGTCATCACCAAAAAGTCCTGCGAACTACACACTGCACGATTTTCAAATTCTTTAAGTTTTAGGTTGAAATTTTTCAAAGGATTGGAATATATCGTTATATTTTGTAGGCTAAAATCATCTTTTAAATTTTTTCAGGTATATTATTTTCTTTGCAACTAAACCAAGTCCAACAGAAAATATCTTAGATTTGTGGGAGGCGAGACATCGTGAAGAAACAGCCGTGACAGATTTAATGAACATTTTACGTGTGATGGGTCGAATGGATGCTGCATCAGTTCTAGAAAAAGACATGGGCTCGTGGTTATGATATCGTGATATTCTTGTGTGAAAACTCTTTAATTATTGTGATATATTTGCCCAAATATGGACAAAAAGGAGAGAAATATGTATGTGTTGCTTAATCAGACACCTTAGGTGCCAATCTAGTTCAAATGTTGAGAAAAATATTATATAAAGGTGCTTTAAGACTTCAGTTTTGAGTGTG